ATCACTGAATGATTCCTCATAGTTCCCTAACAGTTTTTCCCCCTGGAGATACCAACCCAGACTCCTCCCTGGTAGGTCTTACATCACTGTCACTTTTAGATCCTGGTCAGGTTACAGGAAAGGAGAACATATGTGGATGGACCAAGTATCAAAGTCAGGACCCCAGCACTACTGAGTGCTTCCATATAAATATCACTCACCATGGTTGTGCTGCTTTTGAGTTGAAGATTTTTAAAAGATATTTCTTATATACTAGCGCGCTCCTATGTTAAACTTGGACCGTCCATTGTCGCTCCTCCCTATCCCAAAGCCATCTTTTAAACAGATATGAATCTACACCACCTTAGGATAATTCACATTAGTGTCATCTTTCCTGACCCAGTGGTTCTTGAGAGATTTTTAAAATATGCCATCATATTTTCTCTATGTCTTAATTATCTCCCCTTGAAAGAGGGCTTGGCCCTTCATTTGAACAAATTAAATTCCCTTCACCCAAGGATGCTTTGTGGCAAGCTTGATTGAAATTCTCCCAGAAGAAATGGAACATGTGAAAAGTTTACAGATGAACAAACAGCTACACAGACTACACACAAACCTGACTTGAACTTTCAGCTCAGCTAAGCTAACAAAATTAATCCTCTCTGTTTTTTGCTTTCAGATAAATGTAGTAATAAATTTTTATTGCTCAGAGAACTCAGCATTCATTACAAACCTGTTCCCATGTCTGCCGCGGCCTGAGGTATAACATCGTCGTCTTCTTCTAAGGGGAGATCACCGCTGTCCATCTGACCCTCAATGTTAGCTACTGTGTTCTGTAGGGAAAAGTTCTTAAAATCCGTCATAAACGTCTCGTCTGGAACAGCTACGTCATCCGCGATGTTTGACTTTGTACTACGAGGCCGGGATCTAGGGTATTAAAAGAATTTAAGAAAGGAAATAAGATTAGTGATTCAAATTTATACGTATTTGTACTACGAGGCCGGGATCTAGGGATATATATATATATAAAAAGAATTTAAAAATTGAAATGTTATTTGTGATTCAAATTTATCTAACAAGCATTGTGTGAGAAAGAATGATCAGCAAGGATTCATTTCTGAGAATGTCTGAATTCAAAAATAAAGTATGTTAAGAAAAAACAAACTAAGATATTTTCAGCACTTATACTGTGTATATATTTATATCAAATAAAAGGTATGAAATATCATCTAATATAACATTTATAAACATTAATAGGGTAAAAGACTAAATCATATAAGTTCTAATGAAAAGATTTATAAAGCATCATGATAAATATTTGAATTTGCAGATGTCAGAAACTTTGCGAAGGACTGAATATAATTATACATCACTTACTTTGCCGAGATTGGACGCTTTGTTTTGGATTGTGCACGATTTTGATTGGTGGACTGTGGTCGAATCTGATTGGTCAGTTTAGAACCTGGTCTTGAGGAGGACTATCAATAAAATATTTCTAAAAGTCGGTATTGGTCAACAACAAATTTTCATCAACTTCAAATACAATGTTTATTTCACATCTAATTTATTCAAACAAGTACTGTAAGTTTCCGTATAGTAAAACATCCTTAATATTTATAACAAAGTGCCACTGCCCAGGGACAGACGATTTCGCTTTGCTATAAACTTTATGTAATTTGTTTTATCCCATGTTTACACCTTTATCCCGTGGATATGACCCATTGGATAAATTTTTCATATCCCACACTTAAGTGCACTTATGACGTCACAATGGTTTTTGCGTTAGCGTGATGAAGTTAAATAAAGTGGAGTACTATATAAAACAGTGTATAACATCGGTTGTGAAGCATTAAACATGGGATAAAAAGAATCTCCCATGATTTGTAGTTGGGTATGACATGAAAATCATTTTGCTTTAAGTGTCAATTCTTTATATTAAATGCATTTATAATAGCGCGTTTTACTGTATTTGACTGTATGAAATTCGCAATGAAAAGGATCAATTTATATTCAACAGTTTCTGTAAAAACTAAAAATCACCCTCAGGTGTTCATAATGTGACATCGGAAATTCTACATTGCAATGTCCCCCTGTTGACATCATTAAATTGTCTGTACAACCCGACTCAGAACATCAGTTTTATTGTAAGCATAAAATGTTAGGATATTAAATTGAGGAGCAGTCCTTACCTTGGCTGTTGATTCTGTGTTTTCATTTGGGCCTGTTATGTCTTCATCAAATTCTCTGTCAAAAAAAAAATGTGTAGCATTTATAAATCTCTTTAAATAATAATAAAAAAAAATTATATATTTTAAAATATCATGTTTCTGACAAATAAACAGAAATGCCTTTAGTATTTTTATATATCAAAGATTGTGTGCTAAAATTCTTGTGGGAAAAACGAATTTACTGAGAAAATTACAAGTTATCTCCCTTTAAGCATTTTTCTACAAAGTACAATAATACCAGAAAATCTCCTTTTTCCAATGACAATAAGAACTGAAATCGGACACTTGGGGAATTATGCCATTGAGAATAAGAACTTAAATCTGACGCTTACTTGAGGAATTCCTCTGAGTTAATGTTGTCAAGGAGGCGGGATTTAGACAAAACAGATTCCTGTTCACGCTGGAAAAAAAAAATCAGAAAACTAAACTTAAAAAAAAAATTAATTGAACATTTACTTGATCTTACAATCATTGAGAAATGCCTTTTGTCATTAAGCATAGGACCAGAAACATTTCAGCATGGGAGACAAATTTATAAGAAACATTTAGACAAATTTATTCTTTTGAAGAACTGATATTCAGGTAAGCTACAAGAATTATTTAGTGATAGGATTTTGAATACTGTAAAGTCACATATTTTTTTGGTTTGAGATGAAATTGCTGATATGTGGGAATTTGAAATCATGGTTGCAGAAGTGTTGAGTGAAAACAGCAAAAAATTAAATTAAACCCCACACAAAATTTGTTGATTTCACAGTAATTGCTCATACAAAGGGCAATGGTCTCCGAGGAATGATTGCTATCAACTAAACACCCAACAGTGTCTTGTTTACCAATAAATAACAGAACCAGCCACTCACTAAGACTTCCTCAGCCTCTGCTACAAGGTTAGCTGTCTTTGCCTCTAACTCGGCATTTAACTTCCTGAAAAAGTCACATAAGTTAATGCAACATTCAAATAACAACATCCCTACAAGTTTATGCATTTAGTGTTTAAAACAAAAACCAACAATACATTATTTTATGTAACTAGTATACAATCCATGATTGAGTATTTTTTCAAAACTGACAGCAGTATAAGTCTTGAAAGGGCATATTTCGGGTTAAAGGGAAACATATAATAAATCAAGCTTATATTTACTAAACAAAATGAATAAAGATATCACTTTTACTAAATTATCAATTGATCAATGTCTGGTCTGTGTAAAATATTACTTGTATTCCTCTTCTTTGCTGGCCAAATCTCTGACACCTGATCCACCCCTGGATGCAGACAAATTCCCGGATCCACCTCTGGATGGAACATTTGTGTTCTTTACGCCCTGGGAAGACTGTCTCCCTGACAAAGGTCTTACTTGTTTTGCCTAAAGATAGAAAAATGATATCTGATCAGTCATTTTACATTTGATTAAAAAATGTGGCTATGGTAACACAGAAAGCAGTCTATAGACACTGCTTTAGGCAGCTCTGAGGGTACATGTAGGACTTTGTGTGAAGATGTGGAGTTGTATGAAGCACCTGTGTCACTGTGCCCATATCGTAATCTCAGGGAGATTCATAGATTAGAACATTCTATTGTTAAAATGATATTATCCTGATTGGACCTGGTTTAATGATAGAATTTGTTCCATGTATTTTCAAAGTAACACCTTTTCAATGTATTCTTCAAAATCAGTGGCCAGTAAATAAGGAATAAAGGATCATATACTGTCTCCAGGGCCCTGTGTATTTCTCGCAGTAAACAAGTTCGGAAGAAAATGCCCCATGGAAATGGAAAATAGCTTGAGGGATCTTGAAAACAGTGAGACTTGCAGGAAATTCTTTGCTCAATTCCTGGTCAAGATAACTCAATTACATATTAATCAACAATATAGTACATGCCTCCCTGCAAGTTAAACAATGGCTAGCCTGTGTATAATCCGAGATTCCTCTGACTCTAACCCCTGCTTTTATATTGTGACTTGTGCAGGGGAGAGTCAGAGCGGAGACCATATTGAATAGTGGGAATACCGCGATACCACTTGGCGCCGCAAAATAAAGTTGTAAAAGGTACCAACACCAGCTGGTGTTGCTGAATTCCCACTTTTCAATATGGCCTCCGCTCTGACTCTCCCCTGCACAAGTCACAATATAAAAGCAGGGGTTAGAGTCAGAGGAATCTCGGATTAGTCTGTGTAGCCCTTGGATAACACTACAATGGTACAGGCTTTATGTGATTACAGAGGGAAATAAATATTCTATTCTGCATTCAGATTCTACAAAAAAGGGATGAAAAGAAGCAGTTTGGTCGATTGAGTTTGAAGCGTTCGTAGCAACTGGTAAATTTCCCTTTTTCTTGCAATATCTTCCAAGCCCTTAACGGTTAAAAAAGAAAAATTCCATAAAATTAAATCAACACACAAGCAAGTAAGCTTTTGACTCGATAAAGTGACTTTAAATTATCCTCGGCTTACAGAATTATTTCTTGACTGTGCTTCTGACATGATTACAATCTACTTTACGACTAATAATGAAAGTCGTAAACAAAGTCAATATTTTAGCATAATCACATTAAATTAAATGGGTCAACATCGGATGAAGTTGAAATCGCTCCAAATGTGCACTATTTGAAAAAGATAAGGACAAGTAAATGAAGCTATCTACTAATAAAACATCTTACAAATAAACAACGAGAAAAATAAAATGAGGACAATATTGACAGACTTTCAAAATAATTATTTCCACAAAGAATTATTATTTCCAAAATTATCCGATTTTGCGACTTCAAACCCACCTATGACATTCAACGCATGCGCAGAATTATATATGTAATCGAAGATACAAATATTTACAAAAATATTGGACGCCATGTGTCGAAAAAGACGTGATTTCCCCTCAAATCACCTTTCTTTCTACAATGTCCACTAATTTCCTACAGATAAGCGATGTAGGCCTTGAATTTGAAAGCAGAAACAAGCTTGGCGCACAAAGTAGCGTGCGTCATGACGTTAGCGCAGGGCTCGACTCGGAGTCGCTGGGAGGGGGAGCGTTCAATGTGAAGCAGAACAGAAAGCCTCGGAGTGAGGGGAGGTACAGCAGTATCGGGGATGGATTGGAGTCACGGATCAGGTGTGTCTACATTGTACCTCTTAACCTAATGACACAGGGTGATATTATCCCCCCTCCCCATGTTATTTACCTATTTGTAAGAACTTATGAATATTAAGTTGACATTTCAGGGTTATTTCCCCTCCACCTATTTTTATGACAATAATTTCCCTAATAACTTGACGGTGTGACTGTTAGGGCAAGCGCAGACACTATTCAGTTGTAATTTAGATCAGGCTCGTCAAACCGCACGTTGCATTTGGTGTGTTTAGACTGTCATCACATGACGTTGTGTGTAGCACAACCAAGCTGAAGCATGAAATGTGCTGACTAATTTAAATGAAAATCAATGTAATTAATATTTATCTGCAATATATTCATTAAATCAAAGCCATATTTATTTTGTGTTGAACTCTGTAGTTATTCTGTATTTTCTGATTAGTGCAGTCTCGCTTTTTCACTTTTTATTGGTCTCCTTAGACTTCAAACCGCTTGAGACATTATCCCCATTTTGAAGAGACATCAGACTGTAATTTTTAGTACCATCCATTGAATCTTGTTGATGTAATGTATTTGGGGACTGTTTAACACTATTATTTTGTAAAATTTTGCAATTCGGCTCTCTTATAAAACATTTACACCAAGCTAGGTGCACAACATGATGTGAGACCTCCCTGATTTTGTAATATATAATTTGAATTAACAGGGATTTTTTTAGGGTCTCTCTGGGGCCGAAATTCGGACCCATTCCCAATGCTAGAAAGTGTAGGTTTTTCCCAAAATTACACCTAAAAATTCCCAAAATGAAAAAAGTGTTAAGTTGTAAATTATTAAAATAAAACAATCAAAAACAGATGTTACATTCCCTATGTGCATGACTTTTGCTTGTTATTTCCTTTTTATTTGTATGAAGATATTTTTCCCAATTTCAACCAAATATCGCTATTTTTCCCAATCTTGACAGCCCCGGCCCCTGGAATCAAAGGGTAAAAAAATCCCTGATTTATCAATGTTCCTGAATATTGAATTTTTAGTACAAAAAGTGATTTGATAATTTATATCGTTCTTTTGGAAAAAAACTATACTGAGATTAAATTAGGTAAAGTTTAAACTGTTTAGTGTATAGTTTTCATCATGATGAAATAATCAATGTTAATGATAATTATTGTAGTGGTTTTAATTTCTATTTCAGTATTGAAGCAAAGGGAAAAATTGACAGACTTCTGGTAAAGTAGCAATATTTTCTTTGATTTGTGTTTCTTTCAATCCATGTCGATTGATTTTAATGTTATCGCACTTTGACTGGATGAGTTGTAAATACATGATGTTGTTGTAGGGAGAAATAAAGAATTTGTCAGACGTGGAGAAATTTGTGTTGTATCTGAAGCTTCCGACCGGAGATACATCTTCTGAGGACCTGAGAAGGTAAGGCCTTAAGCCATACCTACTGTATATAGGGAAGTTTTAGTCCCCGTTTTATTTTTGTCCCTTTGCCCTACCCTCATTTGGGGGAATTTAAAACCAGGCAAATTCAAATAATACTGTGCAGTATAATTTCTTAAACAAAACTTTGACCATGATGACGGGGGAATTTAAAACTGTACAAAATTGTTTGCAAGTGTGAAACAGACCTAGAGCCAAAAAACCCTTTATACCGTACACATATTATAATAACAGTCAGGGGCATAATGCAAACAAACTATTAACAAAAATAACTCAACTGAGTAATTTTTTTTAGGACAGACAATACATTTCTCCATAATATATTTTTTTTCCAAGATTTTGTCATTGAAGTATTGCAACTGTAACATAATTATTTACCTTGACAAAAAATTGAGGTACCTTACCAAGCATTTTAGAGAGATACCAGATGATGGTATTTCTAATAATATAACCCTTTAGGGAAAACATGATTTCCCAATAATCAAATTTCTCAATGTTTTGATTTTTTGAAGACGATTTGAAACCGGTTTAGAAATCAAAAAGAAGTAAAAATTTTAAATAAAATTATTTTCATATATTAGGAGGGTAGACAGAACATATGTTTGGGGAACACCTCATCTGAACTAAATAGTAATAAATGTTAGTTGAGATAAATAGTCCGAAAAATCTGACGTTTTTCTGGCTTTTTAAAGATTTTGATAATTTACATGCCAGGAAAACGTCAGAACCGGCGCCATTACAAAACTGGAAATTTCACCGTCTTCAACTGGAGCTGATTTTTGATACTTGTGAACCGACCTAAATGCCGAAATCAGAATTTATCAAAAGCACAGTGCCTCTAGTACTCACCAATATCGATGAAAAGAAAATATCACTACACATTGCATATTCACAAGGTTATACAATCGTTTGTATTTTGATTATCATTTTGCAGAAGCTTCTTAAGTCGCTTGATATTTTTATTTAAATAAATACTTTCAACATCATGATTTGCTGAATTGCAGAAATGCAGCCCTTGCCTGGGGGGCATAAAACTGAGATTTCGGTCTTACTTTACACTATAAATTCCTTGGAAAAAGTGAGATTGAGATCAAAAGTTAGTCTTAGTTTTTATGGCCCCAGGCCAGGTCAAGATTCACAGCTCTAACAATGTTTATATTTTTTCCCCAAATGTAGAACGCCCACCCCTTACTCCAAGCAGGCTAACAGAGTAGAGCAGAGTCTGGCCTACACCTGGATAAAATCTCACCTGGAGGAAGATATAGAAATCTGTCTACCCAAACAAGAGGTCTATGATGAATACAAGTAAGTGTAAAGCCACGGGAACCAGTATTGCTGAGTAAATTCTAGGCTTTGTTTATGATTGTAGCAGCTAATATAATTACTAGGATAGATAGTAATTTACAAGTATAAAATAACCCTTGCTTTCCCTGTTTAGCAGCTAGGCTGATCTATGTAAACTGCATAGCTGCTACAATTTTGAATAAAGGTGAAAGCCTTGAAATAAGATGTACCTGAAAATGGAACAGAATGTTAGGTTGAGCTTCAACAACTTTTGGGGTGTTTTAAAATATTTGGGGCCATATACTGGCCAAATAATGATTGTAAATATTTAAAGTGTACCTTTGACATAGTTTATTTGGCCATTCAGGGTTTAATCTAAGGCATATTGACTACCAATTTTCAGTGTTTTTCTCATAGAGAAAATTTCCCTTGAAAATCAAATTTTCCCTTTTTGATGAGTAAAATATCCCCCTTACAATAATAAACACATCAGTCAATTATTTTTTTCCTTCATAAAAGCTGAAAAATTCAAAGTAAAATTTTTTCAGTATATGAGAAATATGTTTTTACTTTTTTACTTTTTGTGCTTTAAATGGTCAGAAAAAAGCTGAAATTCAATTGGCCCCCAAGCAGGGCTTCCCTGCTATTGCTCGATTGGTTCTGACTTGATTGATTTTCCCAATTTCTCTAATAAGGGTAGTTTCCCCGAAAACCTAGGTTAATCCCTGATATTAATTACATGCAGTATTTTTAGTTTAGTGCTCCGCTCTTTACAGGTTATACTGTGAGAACCACAGTCTTGTGCCCCTCTGTAACGCTGACTTTGGGAAGCTGATGAAGACTGTATTCCCCAATGTCAAACCAAGGAGACTCGGACAAAGAGGACAATCAAGATATCCTTGACCCAACACTGTTAATATATTATGTCAAGGTCAATTTATATAATTTATTCACCATGTTCATATCTATTTTAACTTTAAAGAAGAAAGGCAGGTTAGTTTTGTAGCTGTCTCTCAAATGGGGATCAAATATTTCTCTTTCTGACTATTTACCATGTTTACCAGTGTTGATAGTATTAATGACCTTGACCTAGTTTTACGTACTGCTATGGAGGCTTGAGGAAGAAGTTGGATGTTGAGGCGCCATCGTTACCAGAAATAGACATCAGCGCTCCCCAAGACAAGGTTATTCTCATAGCTAAGCTTTTATATTCAGAACAGGCCTAGTATGATTGATCTCTGAACTTAGGTTATGTTGAACATATGTGTTCAAGGTATTTCATATTGATGCTTATTATAATATCTTTTTCTCTAACATTGTATGCTAAATTGAAGTGATTGATGAAATATTAATTTCTTGAATGAATTTTCAGAGAGAGAGTTTATTAAATAAGCTTTATGTCAGAAAAATCTTATTAAATAGTGTATTATGTAAGTTTTAAAACAGTCGGTTAAGATTGTATACATCAGAATTTTTTAAACCTTTCTAATATATTAAGTTTGAATTCTGATAGGTTAAATTGTTTCTAAATTTGATTCTGAATTTTGATTGGTTGATTTTGAATTTTGATTGGTTGTTTTTCTTCATTTCTGAATTCTGATTGGTGCCTCACAGGATGAGAAGACAGAGGATAACCACCTGTTTGGGGCGTCATGTGACCTGGTGATGGAGTGGGCAATGAAGCTTTTGGAACAGAATTTTAGCGGAATGCGGGAACTGGCGGAGTATCTGGTGTCAAGTCTGTTTGTCAACAGCAAGTCTGTGTCTGCCTTCACTGTCATAGCAGCCATGGAGGAGACAGGGGCCCAAAAAGGTGGGTATCATTTAGTGGAGGTACAGACAGGGACCCAAAAAGGTGGGTATCATTTAGTGGAGGTACAGACAGGGACCCAAAAAGGTGGCGTATCATTTAGTGGAGGTACAGACAGGGACCCAAAAAGGTGGGTATCATTTAGTGGAGGTACAGACAGGGACCCAAAAAGGTGGGTATCATTTAGTGGAGGTACAGACAGGGGCCCAAAAAGGTGGGTATCATTTAGTGGAGGTACAGACAGGGGCCCAAAAAGGTGGGTATCATTTAGTGGAGGTACAGACAGGGACCCAAAAAGGTGGGTATCATTTAGTGGAGATACAGACAGGAACCAACAAAGTAGGTGTCATTTAAAGTGAGTAAAGACATGAGCCCAAAAAGACAGATCATATTTCAAGTTTATACAGATAAAAATCCAACAAGGGGTGTAAATTTTTATTTTGTCAAAAAGGTTGGCCTCCATGAGAGTTGAGGTAGTGTTTCCCTATAGTTGTTTATGGATGGTAAATCATGAAGAAAAAAAAATTATCTGGTATAACAGTGAGAAAATCCAGAACCATATTAAGAGATCCTACTTATTTTATTCCTCTCAATTTTCAGCTCCGTCCATGTTCTCTAACACAACAGGTGGGGATCGTCACCGGGAGACCCAGTTACAGCTACAGAGGAAGCTCCACGAACGCGAGAATGTGACGCGACAGAAAAAGAAACTACAGCAGATGAAGGAGGATAACATAGCAAGACAGAGGCAGGACAGACAGACGCCGCAGATAACATCTCCTACTACGCCACAGGTAAATCACCACAAAACACACCACACAACACCAGTCACACAACAATATAGATATAATAACACAGATCACATCTCCTATGATGCCACAGGTAGAGCACCACAATACACATCACACAACACCACTATAGATTACATCCTCACAAAGCAACAGGTAGTACACCACAATAGATACCACAGAAAACTACTAAAACAGCACCATAGGTAGTACACTGCAGGGATTAATCTAGAGCGTATTTACTACCGATATTGGGTGTTTTTCCCCTAGAGAAAATTTCCCCTGAAGATCTAATTTTCCCTTTTTGATGAGTAAAATATTCCCCTTACAATAGTAAAAACCTCAAATATTTCTTTTTCCTTCATAAAAACTGAAAATTTAAAGTAAAATTTACATTACATGAGAAATATGGTTTTAATTTGCTACTTCATGCACTTTAAACGGTCATAGAAATGCTGAAATTCAATTAGCCCCAAAAAGGGCCTGTCCTGCACTAGCTCGAGTGGTTCCCAGACCCCGGCTGATTTTCCCAATTTCTCCAGAAAGGGTAGTTTCCCCAAAAACCTAGATTAATCCCTGCGACTATATTTCCTAAACTACAATACACACCACAAAACACTGTAGTCATAGAAAAAAAATGTTTTTGAAGGTAAAGTAATTGGAATAATTTTTTTATCTTTTCCAAGTGAAAAAATAAGAAAAAATTATTAATATAAATTTCCATTACCATTTCAGGAGCTGGTATCGCCTCGTAAAATATTTGATGAAACAGAGGACAGTGAGATGAGATCACACTCCGGTCTGTCCTCAATCCAGGAGACACACTCCGGTCGGTCCTCAATCCAGGAGCTGTGTGGAGTCCGGCCTCAACGACAAAGATCAACGTCAACCTCCCGACGAAAACGGACCAAGTCAGTCACACCACAAGACCCCACAGAAAAGGGAGGGGGAACCAGCTCAGGGGAGGAGATGGCTCAACATGTTACAAAGGAGTCAACGAAGGAGGACCAGATTAATTTGGACCAAGGCATTATGGGAAGAATGTCAGTAGATTCAGACTTGAGGAGGAATTCGGAGTCAGATTCCACTGTGGAGATGATGACTGTGGAAGACTTGGTGTTTCAGAGTGAGAAGTTGAGGGAAGAAAGCTGGAGGATTGGAGAGAATAAGGTGGAAGATATGGAGGGAATAGAAAGAATCCCAGAGTTTAAAGGTGATAGAAGCCAGAAATCCATTCCTATAACTTCTCTATTGTCAGAGGAGTCCATATTTCAGCTGCCACCTCTTTGTGCGGGAGGTAACTCTTCTATGTTAGAAGATAAGGCAGCTCAGCATGTAAATATAGCACAGGTCACTTGTCATCCATCAGAAGAAAGCGGGCATTCTCAAGTGAATCGGGAGACTGCACGTCAATCATTTCTGGTCAATTCTGAACAGGATATAGGAGTGATTCCTAGTGTTGTGAACGTTCAATTGAGTGCATCTCCAGATCACCAACAACAGAATCCAGATTTAAAATCCGGATCCTGCTCAGGTGCCATTGAATCCATATCAGTTCCAGTCAGCTCAAAACCAACCCATCCATCCACCACACCACCACAACTCAGCTTCCTTCAAAAGGAACCACAAACCATCCCCAAAACATCTGTCTCAAACCGCAGTGCATTTGTTCCCTTCTCACAAGTCAGGAAAGATAATCCAGATGAGGATCCTGATATTTTTTCAGATCCAGATGGAAGTCTCTGTCTGACTGACAAGGCTCAAACAATTCTGATCACAGAAAATGGAAAACAGTTCATCATCATGACTCCAAGGCCTAACATGTTAAACCTCCCAACCAGTACCGATCCACAGGATTCACAAAACCAGATAGTCCCAATTACACTGAGCTCAAACCTACCCTCCACTCCAGTCAAGTCAAGTGGGACAGCAGCTCAAGCTGAACCTCAGTCACCAACCACTCCAAAGAAAAACCGGTCTAGGTTCACACCCATACGTCCAAAAGGTTCGCCTGCCAAAACTGTCTCCTCCATACTGAAAGAACAGAAGTACCCTGAAAAACCAGACTCTGAGAAGATAGACCGATCCAAGTCAGTATCTACCCTGCTAAAGGAAAAACGAGAAAGGGAAGCCAAGATGCAGTTTTCTGTTTCAACTAGTGTTGTCCCAGCAGTGAGTGTGGCCAGTGTAGGAGCCCTTACTGCAGTACCAGCCACCTCTCTTTCTCTGCCAAGTAAAGAAAATCCACACGGTGAATACATCATAATTCTGAACCCTGTCAACCCTGGATTAGGCAAAGTTTCCCTGACAAGTGAGTCTGTGACGTCTGTAACCACAACCCTAACTACAGCGTCCAGTCACAGATCCATGGAGTGTTCCAGCTCCACTCTGGATCCTGGTCAGAGGAGAGAGAGGAGTCGCACAGCCTCTCTATCAGAATGTGAAATAACGAGTCCCAGCACCCTGGACAATCTAAACAGCTCGGATCTCTCTGATTCTTCTGTTGGAGACGAGAAGCCATCAAAGTTGGCAAAAATTGTGGACAGCGATCAGAATGTCTCCTCCCGTCCAGGTAGCAGGTGCTCCGTAGATCGGGAAACTCCGTCCATTCTCGGTCGTAAGAGAAAGCTGTTCAGCTCTCAGTCTATAGAGGGCAGTAGCTTTATAGAAAGGCTGACACAGAGAGTTTCCAGTCATGAGGAAGATACAGACTTCACGATGGAAGACGACAGGAGAGCTTTGTCCTGTAGCTTGGATGATAAGGAGAGGTATTCCCAAAGAGAGGTTTCCAGGGCATTTGATGACAAATTGAAATTAGCAGAGAAACGAAACTATCCAGACATCTCTGTCTTGGAATCTGATGCACTTAAAGATGTCTGCATTCCTGATCCGTCCAACATTATCAAGAAGGGGAAGGAACTCTGTAAACAAAAGCAGGATACTGGTGTTGGAGTTACCTCCCTTTCTTTGAGAAAATCTCAACAGAGGTTACTTGAAGAAAAACCAAGATTAGATGAAAGAATGAAATCCTTTTTCCAGTTGAAAGAAACAGTTCAGCCAGAGAAGACAGAGGAAATTCAGGACAGCGAGCTACCTCCAGATGTAGCAGAGTTTATCACAGACAGCATGACGCAGGCTCATTTAGGTGAGCAGATGGAGGTCAGCATGGATCCAGTCAGATCACGCAGTCTATCTCGGCAGGAGGTAGTGCAGGAAATCTGTAAAAGTCTGCAAAACATTCCGTGTAACCCTTCGGTTCTGCAGCCTGCCCAGTCCCCCACTCTTCCTTCATTTCCACAGAGATCTCACTCAGCCAAGAACCTTCTCCTTACACCAGTGTCATCAGGGACAGAAAAACCCACACAAGATGATGACCAATTTCGCATTCCTTATCGTTCACAGTCCGTCACTGATGCTTCCAGGGGTATGTTAGATGTTCAACTAACAGGCCCAAATAAGATGCCCTCTCAGCATAGTGTAAACATAAGCCAGCAAAGCACAAAGAAACCATCCACGGGGGGAGTGGAGTTTGCCAGTCCTCAGCGTCCAGTCAGACGACAGCGCACTCCTTCAGTGGAGAAACTTAGAAAGAGGGAGTCTTCGCTGGAGCGGAACATGGTTCAGAGAGAGTCTTCAGTGGAGCGTAGCATGGCTCAGACACCCCATTCTGACCCAGGCTATGGGAGTGTGGGACCCAGTCCTATACTCCACTCGGTGCTTGTTTCTACGGGAACACACGTGTGTGACTCCACCTACAGCTCAATGTCCAGTACATCATTCTCCGTATGTCGCCCAGATTCCGCTCACAGCGTGACTAGCGACGGAATCATTCCCAGTCCCATGACATCACCACGATTCCAGACGTCCACACCGTATCATCTCAAGTCCCCGTGCGTAACGCCAAACCAAGGTCCAGCCAATAGTGAAGGTTTGCCCATCCAGTCCTTTATGCCTATACAAGGTTCATCATTAAAGATAGACAATAGCAAAGTGACGCTCATTCGGCCCGTTGTGACTATAGCCAGTCAGACTTCACAAAGTGCCATAGCAGGACAAGTTGTTATGGGGGATATGATTGATGAGGAAACTGTCCAATCAAAAACCATGAAACAAGCTCCGCCATCTTACAGTGCAGCTATGCAGGATATGGAAAGGAAGTCTAAGAAAGGGAACAAGCAGGGGGCATTTAAAACTTTACAAACCCCCATATTGAACCTCACAGATGACAACACCCTGTCTGGACCCCCACTGTCAGGAACTGTAAGCAGCCAATCGTATTACTTCTCTGACAAGCTAGCCCAGCTCTCTAAGAAAACCCATGCCTCGGAAAGTAAAAAAGTGAATGAAAAAACAATTAAGAGAGATCAAAGTATAAAGCAAATACTTGGTGACCTTACTTCACCCATTGACCTCCAGTACCCAGGTCAAGGTCAGAGTAAGCTGCCGTCCCTGGCTCAGCTTCCCGACGCTAATTACCAGGGCGACCAGCCCAATGTCAACATGTTTGATATCGAGGGAATTGTAGCATACAAAAACTTCGAGAGAGATGCGAGTCTATCCTCAGATTTATTAGACATGAGACAGAGTGGTGAGGGGGAGAAAGAGCCAGGACTCGATGACCAATTTACCGCGAGGCGGAACCTGAATGAAATGCTGGGGCATGACTTAAACGGTGATGACCTCCAGGCAACCTTGGATGACCTTAAAGCAGTGGACAGCCAGTATTTTGCAGACAATTTTGAGTTTGGATCAGAGAAAAGGCAAGAAATATGAGAGGTGTTGAATTAAGTGTATTTTGTTTTGTTAGGACCAAATGATTTTTTTTAGAAATACTATTTGAAAAATTTTATAAAATTATTCTATTATTTTAATTTTTTTTCTATTTATTATGGAAATTTCAGCATTTTGCATGACTGAATCATTTCTTTATTAGTAATGTATTTTTAGGAAAAAAACTTTTACAGTACTTTTGAGTGACTTTTATTGTTTGTGTCTATAGAGCAACCACTGAACAAGGCCTTACATTTGTAACAAAAAAATTTTATAAAATTATTCTATTATTTTAATTTTTTTTCTATTTATTATGGAAATTTCAGCATTTTGCATGACTGAATCATTTCTTTATTAGTAATGTATTTTTAGGAAAAAAACTTTTACAGTACTTTTGAGTGACTTTTATTGTTTGTGTCTATAGAGCAACCACTGAACAAGGCCTTACATTTGTAACAAAATGTATGCATTACATTTGTTTGCTGTGTGACAACTGGAATATGCAAAATTTTCTTAGCTGTTTTTGATCTAGTTTAAGTAATTTTAATTAAATTGTGGCCAAATGTAAGTTGAAATGGAATGTTTTCTACATGGACATTTAAAAGTGCTGCACAGTGATGGTGCTAGATTTTTGTATATGTACAGAATTACAGCTTAAAGATGTTCTTGTGAGTTTCCAAGTCTGCTGTTCTCATGTGAAAAATGAATTCTTAATTTTTTTTTTTTTTGAATTGAACAATCTTACAATTTTTAAATCATATTTTTTATTGTACAATTTAATACATATTTTTTTAGTATACTCTGTTATAAGTTTTTGTAATGAAGGTCATTAATACCATGTGAAATAATTTTGGCAATGCCTAGAAAATCAGGATTTAAAAGTTAAAAAAGCACATTTAATCAGGCCATCTTAAGAATATTGTCTGTTTGCCATATCCCGACTCAGGTAAAATTATTGTGTCAAGTCAGTCAGGAGAAGACAACCAAACATTTTTTTTAAGATGGTCCTACATTATTCCCTATCAGAGTTGTGCCCCTTTATAGAGGGTTGAGCAAACTGACTTTTTTTTGCTTTTCCTGTACAATTTTTTTTTCCAAGTATCTTTGGGTTTAAAAAAGGAAATTTCAAAAAAACTGAAAATATTTCCCATCTAGGAGTTTGCAATGAAGATAACAGTGAATTTTATTGAGTGATGCTGGGCATTTATTAAAAATTGATTTAGGTGGGCTACATTGACAAAAAAAAATACAGCAATGTGGTATAGTAATAGTTGATGATAAAGAGAGTTCATGTGTGACAATTTTTAATTTTTTTATTGTTAGATGACTTGTGTGTGTCAAAACTACACATATTTGTTATCCGATTGTTTTCAGTTTTTTAATTGCAGTGGGGTTTTATTTTCTTCTGAAAGAAAATGAGTTTGTTAGTGTGCTAGGTTATGAACAGAATTTGTTTATTAACTTAAAAACATTGTTCATTTTATTTTAAATGAATTGAATACAGTAAAACATATCTAATCTTACACCCTGGATCTAAAAAAAAAATAACTTGTATTATACACTTTTAATTAATTAAAATTAATGAAAGGGACTAAAATTTACATCATGTTATGATGTTAAACATCATGTTATAATGTTAAGCAAGATTTCAGAATAGAATCAGATATGAAGCATTAGATAAGTTTTACTTTATGTGAATTATTTCTTTCTAACAGCTACAGCAGCTGAAAATGTTAATGAATGCAGAAGCATTTTTTTAATTAACCATCAGAAACTATAACAATTAGGTGTGGGGAGAACTCAGTATTTTTTGCAGAAATTGATATTTTAATAACATATCCCTTAGTTATGGCCAGTTTTCCTTCCGTTTTTTTTTTTTTTATTTAGTCACCTTAGAATCAACTTTTCTCTGATTGTATCCTCTGAATTATCCTAAGATTTCACCTAAAAAATTCAGTCTGACATGTATAAAAACTATAAAAACATTGAAGAGATATTTTCAGAAAACAGAAAAAAAAAAACTTAGAATTTTTTCAACTTTAATTTACATGTTATTAACAAGTGTAGAAAAAATTGAACAAAGTTTTATTATTTTGTTGAAAAGTTGAACAAAAAACCTTCATCATTGTAAACCTGTCTTGTTTTAGACATTGTATATGAATTGTGTTCAGATTATTTATATAGAGACGTGTTGTTAGTGGAGCTGTGAGCTAGACATAAAGCGACTGTGTTCTTTGATTCTTGTTAAAGTAGACAGTTATAATAGTTGTTGATAATTTAGAATAATTTAATTAATAGTGCTGTATTTAATTCCATATATATACACATACATGTACATGTATTCTTGCTTTTGATATGAGGTGTGTCCCCAAACTGCCCTACCCCTTTTTCAGACTGAATCTGGGGACAGCATACTTGAATTTTTCTTTGATTTTTGTGATTGAGAACAAAAAAGAAAATTCTGTGATATTTACTAGGAAGTTTATTATTGAGTATAAAAAAATAAAAATAAAATGAATGAGGGGAAATTAAAGTCAAATTATTATTATAATATATTATAAAATGTAGACCTTATAAGTTACATATAATGATAAGTAGGGGTCTTAATTCAGTTGTGTGGGAGGAGGGTCAGGGAGGGGCACACCTTCTTAACTTGTACCTGCTAATTCCTTTTTCTTGATCTCATCCTTTCTCTGTGATTTTATGCATTTAGTCTAGGATATTGTATTTTTGTCTTGTTAAAGGGCAAGTTCTTACACCTTGAAGGGGGGGGGGGGGTACTTTACGTAGGTCTTACAAAAGGCAAGGAAACTTTCTTCAAGTTAAGGAAAATCTTATATATTTAGAGAATTTTTGAATGTGGATTTTTTTTCTTTGTTGAAAAGTAAACTATATTATATATTTCAGGAACACAAGAGGTTTATTAAGTAAAATAAGATTTCCAAATTTCTACTTTAAGGGGACCGACTATAGTTTTATTGTGTGAAAACTACCACAGCGAAACTCTTCATTTTTATACCATATATAACTTACATTAACTTCAGTGTACATGCAAAGTTTGGGGGAAATCTACCGTCCAGGTATTTTTGAGGGACCGTCTCAAAATACAGGTACATTTACTAATAGAATTATATAGGAAAATTCCAATTTCTAGCACATTAAAGCAAATTATACAAATACTACAATAGACATTTTATTCAAACTAAAATATTTGATGAGTAATACTATATTATACAATATATGTAAGAAACACAAAATTCTACCGTCTTGTTACCAGAGGGGGCATCTCAAAATGCAAAAAAAGCAAATTTTACTATTTTTATAGAGTATTACTAAATATGAAGTCCACAATGGATTCACATGAAAACATAATAAATATATTGGAGATATTCTCAAATTTCTATGTTTTAAATTTCAAGAGCGTATGTTCCTTACTTTTTCTTTAATAATATTTTTATATTACCCCTTTCTTTAAGAGCTACAGATTATCATAACGTCAAAAACACACTGCAACGACGCCAACCTACCTATCAAATGCAAAATCGGTTAAAAAATCAGTTATATCAAATTGTAATTAAATTTTTATACCTATAATTTCTTCATTTTGTTTAATTTTAATAATTAAGTGAAAAAAGTTGCATTAAAACAGTAAATACGCTTCATTTTACTATGATGCGCGAAACATTGCGCAATGGAAACTATAGTCGGCCCCCTTAATAAGGAACTTTTTTTACCTATTTAGTTAAAAAGAAAAGAAAAATAAAAAATGCTGAGAATTGTATGATGTGAGAGATTTTGAACAAAATTGAAGCATTTGAATTTTTTTTCAAGTTTAAAGAAAATTTTGTGATTTTAAAATGCCATGTCTTCCTATTTTGGATATTTTTGTAAAAGCTGACATGCCATGAATTATGAATTGTCATGGAAAAAGGGGGGGGCATTAAAGAATTTAAAAGAACAGACCCCACATCTAACAAGACAACTGTTACAATATTCTAAAACTGTTCAGTGAATTAGAGTTTTAATTTATTATTATTTATAACACAGATTTATAATATAATTATCTACTTATGTATTCTTTAGATTAGTGATTTGTTGTATGTTATTGTCATCACGGTTTTATTTTTGGTTTCTTTTTTATGTGCCCTGTTTCGCTGATATGTTTTCTATTTATTGATAAATTCTGTATTACGATTACAATTAAACTCCATATCTCAGGCAGGGTTATTTCAAATACCATGGATAAGTTGAAGATACTTGAAATTTCTTCATGTAATTTTCAAACTTGATAACACAATCTTTACAATACTCGGATCAATTAACAGTACTTGTTGAAATATGATTTCCCTCAAGAGTAAGGACAATTGTGTTCAGTAAATCATTGAATTGACTTCTGGCTTCTAATTACTCAACAAATAATGCATGTAATTTCAGACGCATCATAACGGGTCTTTCCTTCATAGGTCGGAAAAACGTGCTTTCCCCCCGCTTGTCGGAAAGGCCCGAGAAGTTGCGAATGCATGTAATTTATATCAATTTAGATACGCAACACAATATTCTTATATATTAACTTTTTTTCTTATGTAATATCTTTAGATTTCTCTATTATAAATCTATAGAATATTTGTTATCTGGTATATCCTTTTAAAATGATCAACTCAAATGCCATTAGCTGGAAAATTGTGTTGGATTTTAATTTAAGTCGAATTTAGATGCTGAAACAGAGGGACAATGTAAAAAGTCTGACTGGCTTAACTACATTCAAGGAGTTTGTTTTGTGTGTCTGATTCTGTGTAATTTTTGTGGGTTTTTTTTCTCACTGTTTTGAATTCCGTCCATAAGTTTCAATTTTCTAATCATTCGATCAATTTCTCTGAATTATTAAGTCATAAGTAGGTCAGTATTTATTATTTATTTTTAGTATCATAGTTAACGGAACTTCCTTAATTAAGAGTTTTCTTGATGAAACAGAACAGTGTAGCTTTGTTTAAAGGTGCACAATATGGCGTGTTGTTGTGGTCTTCCTAGAGCCATTTTGATTTTAATGAGATTTTTTTAGTGATTGCATGATCTAATCAATCGAAATTTAAAAAGAACAATTGTTATTTTATTTTTACTTTGATGTCCAGCTTCCGGTCTGTATCCTTGCTTATGAGCTCTGTTAGTGTGTAGTTATCTCCCTTTTTGTACTTCTTTTTTTCATGCAATGCCTTTCCTGCATAAATATTGACAAATAAAAAAGTAAAGTATATAACTTTTAGTCATCATTTGATATTTTAGCTTACCCGAGCTAGAAAACAAAGTCAGCATTTCTCATCTCGCCGCAAATTCGTGAACTTTTCATCTTGATTTCATTTAACAACGTAGGCCCTTTGCAGTTTTAACCAAACTTGACAAAGAGACAGAGGGTATCTATAGATAGAGCGGACACAAACAATAAGAAATGGGTCATACTTTAATTTCTTCCGAGGGAGAAGAGAAAGTAGATATAGACTGGGATCATTAATAAAGTCTAAACACCACTGGGTCAGGGTCTCAGGGAAGATGAATCTTGTACAAAAACTTCCTGACATCCTATATGATACAAACAGCAAAAGTTCGCAAGCCTGCTGTGTATAGAGTCGGTTACAATCACCCTGGGTTGAATATACAATATAAATTGTAATACTACATGCATGCTTAAGATTGTTTTCAAAACTTGAGAAAATTACTGACATCTTTCGAAGATGAAGCTTCCATTAAAGCCTTTAGTCCCGCATCTCCTTTTAAAGGCAACTTATTTTCTGAAGGTATACATTTAATTATAACCAAAAAGGCCATTTATTAAACATATCATTGAGAATTCCACTCCCTGTTGATCCGCGCCTATTGATTGCATCACCTGACTCTGTCGAGAGTTTAAAAATAGAACAAAATGTAAACATGGTCAAAATCACGCGGTAGTTACCAATATAAATTATGCCGATTAGAGAAGTTCCTATTTGATTGTGACGTCACATTTGTCTTGTGACTTGGAAAATTAATAAAAGTGCCAGTAAAATTATGTCCGTATGTCAACAGCGACTTCTGGCCAGGTAAGTCACTTGGTATATACCTGGGTGCATATGTATATATAAGTATATATTATGTATCTAATAAACGACAGTTATATACTGCATCTCTCTCTAATTTCAATCTGCATGCTCAAAATGGAATGAATAATTATATCATATACTGTAACATTTATAATTAAGTATAAAAAAAAATTACAACACCAATCTATTACTTTTTAGAATATATTAAAAAGTATGTTGATTTTTATTATAATATTATGCATGCAGGTTCCCTGCATGTTACTTTCAGGAATATAAATTAAAACGAGAACCTATTTCCAAATGTGTAATATTACAATAAATTAATGAATTCTTTTTTTTGAAAATTAAATAAAGCAATTTTTTGGTATGTAAGAAATCGGCAATGCTTAGATTAATTATTTATATTTTGCACATTTTTTAACTAGTCTAATAAAATGTAATAGTTTATAATATTAATTAATAATGTCATAAAATAGGCGCTAAAAATGTATGTGTTAAACAAAAATTAAATGGCACAAATTAATTGATACCAAAGAATACTTATAACAAATTACTTTTATTTATTAAGATTTATTATATTATTTCTTTTCACAAACAGTTAAAATTATATACAAATCCATGCATTGTATTTGTTTTTTTTTTAAGAAAAAAAAATTGTTATGGCTAGAATTTGTATCTTTAAAACTGCTTTCAACCAAACTTCTCTGAACATACCAAATATCGTAAAAATTACAATTTGATCGTCTGAAACTTACATCTAACAATTGTTTATAGCATCATATGGTGTTCTTTATTTAACGATTCATGCTATATTTTAACGAGGTTGGATTCTTTAAAAAGTCTAAAAAAAATTTATTTTGGTCAACGATATTTCTAGTTTTTATACATGTACATTACTTCATTTAAAAATCAAAACAAAAACTTAAGTCAATATGCTTCTTTTGACTCTACATTACATATAATATGACCTTTTTGCACTGAAATTTGTGTCTTGAACAAAAAACACAATTTCAATTTCCTTCCAATGTTTTTACAGAATAAAATCATTGAACGAAATAACCAATAAGTGTATTTAAGAAAAGACATTTTAAAGGGACATGGACACAGTTTCAACATTTTTTAAAACCAATTAATTTTAATGGTTACAATTCCTAATTAAGGCAAGTTAAATGATCAGCAAATATTTGAACATCATTTTTAATTTTTTTTTTATAAATTACGATACAGATAAAGGACTTCAAATTCTTCATAATGTAAACAAGGCTCTGCTTTGTTATGCTTTACATATAGAGAATATATTTAAAAAAAAAAAAAACAAAACAAAAAAAAAAAAACAGATTCGGCAAATCACTTAAAACTGTTTAATTGTATTTTGAATAAACTTCTTGCAATCAAAACATGACAAGGGTCTTCTTTACAAGTGTTACGAGCTCAAAAACCGTCTAGAATCTCAACATCTGAAATTTAAATTGTTGAAAATCTTTAAAAATACCTTAGTTAAAAATTTGTAAATAAAAAAAATAGAAAAACAAGTTCTAACTGATATAAAAACATGACTCGATTTTTTTTTTCATTCTTTTTTTTTTTTTTTTTTTTTTTTTTGAGGATAGAGGTATGTTTGTATCATCTGTTCTTAAGTAGATTAAAAAAGAAGTAAGTAAATTGAAATTATCTTTAAAACAGAGGTTAACATTATTTCTTGTGTTTTATGTGATTTGATAGTTTTCCATTTTCCATTATTTCTTGTGTTTTTATATTTTGACAGAATGTCTACGGAGAAAGAAACGCTTCAAACACGTCAACAGAACCCTGCTGTCCCTGGGACAATCCAACAAGGGACGCAACCTTTACCAGGCTACCAAGAGCCGCATAGCCCCTATCAACAAACCCAGCCACAGTACACAAACTCTCAACTTCCAACCTACACACAGCCACCAAACCCGTCAGTGACGTCACAATCACAGCAACCTCCAATAATATATGTTGGATACAACACCAACCATCCCGTCACATTCATACCGGCCCCAGTACCAAAGCGATCGTTATTTGAGGCGTACCTTCTGACGCTTCTTCTAGGGTTCACTGGAGCGCAGCATTTCTACCTGAGGCGTCCTGAATGGGGTGTCGTGTACTTGTTCACGCTTGGATTCTTGGGATGTGGGTGGGTGATTGACCTTTTCAGGCTCCCTTTGTTGGTGTCTCTCTGTAACAAACAAGCGTCACATCCGGAGACAAGCGAGAAGAAAAAGAAAAACCTGGATGACGCTTATGTATGTTGGCTACCGGCCGGTTTTTTGGGTAAGAATCTTTAATGTAATGTTTCATCCAGAACTTTATTTACATCTCTTTCTCTTTCCTGTGCAGTTATCCCAGATAGAAGACATAGTTGGGCCAACGTTGGGTCAACATTACCATCCTTAATTCCTTGGAAAGTAAAGTGAATGGAAGATGCTTACGTTGGACCAACGTTGGGCCAACATAAGAATTCCGACATGGTCGAGAACATTGGTCCAACGTTGGCCCAACGTTATTCCCCCATCGCCAACCATACAATTTTACCAATTTTGGCCCAACTTAGCCATGCTATCTGGGATGAATAAATCCTACTATTTTCCATGATTTATAGAAGGTTATATTTTGTTTGCTTCTATAATGTCATTTTTTCCAGGACTTCATCACTTTTACTTGAACAACATCGGACTTGGCGTTGTTTACTTCTTTACATTCGGACTTTTCGGCGTCGGTTGGGTTGCTGATGCTTTCTTAATGTCATACCACGTTAAAAAAGCAAACTCCGACATCCCAGATGATTCAAAAAAGAAAAGCACAGCCACCACATGCATATTAGCCATTTCCCCTGCGGGTATCCTCGGTGCTCACCATTATTACCTCAATAGAATTGGTTTTGGAATAGCCTACACGCTTACTTTTGGACTTTTCGGTGTTGGATACATCGTCGATTGGTGCCGTTTCCCATTATTAGTTCAAAGATACAACAAGAGTAAAAGAAAGGGCTTTATTTCCCACAAACATTTAGACGACGCTTATCTTCTATGGTTTCCTCTCGGGTTTCTCGGCCTTCATCATTTCTATCTGAACAGACCGGGCTGGGGCTGTCTGTACTTCTTTACTTTCGGTTTGTTTGGGCTTGGTTGGATTATCGACGGATGTCGACTCTGCTCCCTGGTTACGGAATGTAACAGACAGATAGACGAACAGGTGCTCCTTAGCAGCAACAACCAGGGTATTTCTAATCCTAACTTTGTAGCAGGAAGCGTTGGAACGCAACAATGGCCGCCAGCAGGTGTGATACAGAATATTGAAATTAAATTTCTTAGACTTTGGCATCTTTTTAAAAACGAATTATTTGATGATTTGCACTGTTCTTTTTATTTTTATTTATGTAGCTGGAGGTCACGTGGCCTCTAATTATACTTATACGTCAATACCCTATCCACCTGGATATACCGCCAATTATCCCGCACAACCAGGGCTTTATCCAGCAGGACCAACCCAGCACAACGGTAAGTCTAACCATTTGATCCAAGTCAGCACATCGGTAAGTTTAACAATCTTATCCACGCAACACAGCACAAAGGGAAGCTTAATCTTCAGGCTTTATCCAAACAGCACAACAGTTAATTAAAGTATCAGGATTTTATCCAAAACAGTACAAGAATTAATAAATTATCAGGAATTATTTCAAACAAGGTAACAGTTAGTCCGAAAAATCTTTAGTTTTTATGTCTTTTTTCTATTTTGATATTTTACATGCCAGGAAAACGGCGCCATTACGAAAACTGGGAATTCGCCGCCTCCAACCGGTGGCGGCATTCCCAGGTTGATTTTTGATACTTGCAAACCAAATTAAATGCTGAATTCACATTTTATCAATAGTACGTGCAGTACCTGTAGTACTCAGCAACATCGTTTTTATGGTTTTTTTTATGAAGTAATATAATCCGATGAAAACATTTTATCTGACTATCGAGATTTGTTTTCATTTCGTGCAATTTAAAATCTTGCAAGTTCTGAATCGGAATGTGGAGTGGTAATTTCTTTTCATCGATATTAGTGAGTTCTAGGTGCACTGTGCCATTGATAAATTGTGTGTTCTGCATCTAATTCGGTTCCCAAGTATAGAAAATCAACTTCGCATGGAGACCCTGAAATTTCTAGTTTTCGTAATGGCGCCAGTTCTGACATTTTCCTGGCACGTAAAATATCAAAATCGTGAAAAAGCCTGGAAAACGTCAGATATTTCGGACTATATATGTAACAGTTAGGTAAACTATCAGAATTTTGTCTTTCATTGTAAAATGGTAAAAAGATAAAATCTTCAAGGATCATTCAAGGAATGTTTCGTTGTGGAAATAGTAAATGGATATAATAGGAACAATCCATTTTCAGAATGTTTTGATATGACAGCTTAAATAAAGGGGGAAGATGCATTTCTATTCAGATCAGCAAGGTGTAGATTTTTACTGACTCAGAGTTAAATCTTAAACACGGCAACATTACGTACGTGGTAAGATACTAGTAAACAATGTGGACTTGACTCAACACCACATATAATGCAAAGTTAATGGAAAGACCTTTCTACATCATAAAATTATATAAAAATCATTTTATATTTACAGGATATGGATCTACTTCCGGTGTTGGCGATCAACCGCCTCCATATGAAGCTGGACCGCTGCCAACTAAGGAAAAATAACTCTTACAACTCCGTTATGTGTCACTTTTCTATTGGATGCTTGTACATATATGTCGTCATTTCACAAGGACTTTTATCAATAACTGTTTACCTGTCCCACAGGACTAAGAAAATGTGTGTAAAGTTTAACATTTGATTGTAGTTGACGACTTAAATACAACACATTAAGTGTGTACCATATTTTATGTAGCAAGGCAAGAAGAACTAGATTTCTGTACTGTTAACATATTAATGTGATACATGTACCATGACTAGACTTATTACAGTGTTTCTTATTCTTTTTGTATTATTCCTGAGGACTTGTGATTGTTGTTTTTTGTGATTTTATTTTCTAAGCAAAGAAATAATTTATAAAATGTAAATATTTTGCCGTTGTGAATTTACAATCAACCTATAGATATTCCCTCTGTCTTCAGAGAAACCTTTGTTGAGTGATGGCAAAATTTCTATATAGTTTCTTTTTTACTTCTGATTAAAAAATTTAGAGAAAATGTAGCTTTTACCCATGTTTTATTCCGCTTATACATGTCTTTAGACTTTCCATCCAGAAAAGTTGGACCAGCCTCCACCGTGCAAATAATTTCCATATACTGTACGGATATTGACCTTATCACCGGACCTCAAAACCAGTGGAAATGTATTTGAACAGTTTTCATACCCTTTGCTTCCTTCATTGTTGCAGTTTCCAATTCCTTTTCTTTGTCCATTGAGAAGGATTTCCACATCGAAGGCCTTATTTGGTGCCACACAACTTGACCAAGAAAATAGGTACAGTCCGTCAGATGGAGCCGTGAAGACACCCGTGTGCTTGTTGTAGGCGTTTCCATGGTTGTAATATACGCCATCATAGACAACGTTAACGGGAGAACCTTTGTTGAGGTGTAATGACTTTGTATTGTATGCATTAAATGCAATAATTTGACCTACAATAAAAAAGCAACAGATTAAAAAAAAATTCTCAGCGTTTCTATAAGAATTATGTAAAGTTTAATGCATTGCTGGTGAATACGTTTTTTTCATTAAACTGGACCATATTTCTGTTCTATCGTCAACTCTTGATGATCAGAAATAGTAATATTTACATTCGACATATATTTTGCGTATGAAATGTAAGGAATTCTACGACATTCAAAACATAACACGCACAGGGGGTCAAAAGGTTAAAATAAGCGTTTAATTTTGAACAACATTAAAATGCAATATCATAAGCAACAATCAAAATTTGATCATGCGGTTGTATAAATTGTAACTTACCCTAAGGATAAAACAGTGATTCTTAAAAGTATATATCTCATTAACAGTCATGGGAAGAAGTTAAAAGAATTGAAAATATAAGTACTGAATGTGTTTTTTTGCAAGATATAGTCTCATAATGCACTAACACGCGTAATTCAACTTGTTTGCAGAACTTTGCAATTATGAGACTATATCTTGTAAAGCAAAATAATGATTCAATGTATAAATACAATAAAACGTCGATTTGAAAAAAATACTGAGGCAACATGAGAGAAATTTTAAAATTTTGATTCTCGCTTGCATAATTTTATTATTGGACCCTACCTTTTGGAAACGTGTCGCGTTTCTTGACACAGCGGTAATTGACCTCCAGATATTTAGAGTGATTAGGGCACGGATCTCCAAAGTGTTGAACAGCGGCGTGAATGTGGCACGTCCTGTACCCATTGCAGTTCCATTTTGTCTTGATTTCAGACGTCTTCGAGCGACAGGTACGAGTTTTGATATTACCAGTAGGACAAACGTGTTCATCTGTCCGTCCGTAGTTTGCAGATAAAATCTGAATCTGGGTTCCTTTTATGCAGCGGATAAAACCTTTTTGACCATCACAGAGAGCAAACGACTGGTCTTGAATGTAAGAGTTATCGGGTTAGTTCTTATTAAAAGTGAACTGACAAGTTTAAGGTACAAAAATAACAAGTGTAAACGATGAAAATTACAAGTTAAAAAACAAGTATTGGAATTCACCTGAAGTCTCCACGTGTCTGAATGCCGATGTCAAAATCAAAACAGCAGCAGCTTGGAAGTAAAGCATCTTTTTGCCTCCAAAGATAGATAAATACATAGTATTCGATATGAATATTACACCTCGATATGTGCTATGAAAGAAAGATAATTAAAAGAACAAACACGCATATTTATAGATAAAATGTGCGTGATGAAAGGTAACATATGTAACTCCACTATGAAATTGATATTTCGAAATTAAATTATATATACATACACATATATTAACAAACTGAAGCTATAACACGCTAAGATTCTAATATTAACTTTTAAATATGGTTCTCTACAAACATAAATTGATATTTTACTGAACGAATTGTTTCTTCTACAGATATATTTAAACGTAGTTCTACACTCTATAAACCTCTAAAGGTGTAACCTATGTCGGAAAAGCCTTTGTCACAAAATTTTCAAACTTTTCAAAATGATGAATTAGCACTCGCTTTTCAACGAGTTAAAAGAGCATGACATGTTTCCTTGTTACAAAATGTAGTGCAGCCTGTGAAAATTGGAATCGTAATTATATACTGCGACTTCACATCGTCAGTCATTTTTAGGGTGCTTATCATAAAGAGAATATGAAAGATAAATAAAATACTTCATTAAAAATCGTTACGTATAAACTTTTTAAACTGAACAAAATTAGGCAATATTTCTGAAGAATAAGTTCTTTTTTTATTCAATTGACATAAAAGATATGTCTACTTTAAAAAAAATGTAGACAAATGAACTCCATTGTTATTAGTCGATTTTCCACTCTAAATTTGTAAATGTTTTTCAAAAGTCTTTGTCAGAAAATCTTTAATACGATGAAGAACATACTCAAGTGATTGCAAAAAAGTTATTAAAATACTTACATTTCAACACAAACTATTGAGAGATGGATTATTTACCAACTTTACTTTTCTTTACCTTTTTGAACTTACACAGAATTTAATTATTAAATGACTTTTGGGTTACTTTAAGATTTATGATGTGAATATATTAACTCGAATTGTATTTTTCTAGTTAAAAAGATCATATTTGATCAAAGGAAAATTGTAATTAAACACCTACCTTGAAAATTATGCATGAATAATTAAGAAATAATTATGGAACAGAATGGAATTCATTTTAAGATAGATATCACAAAATATTCACACAATCTTCGACACATCATTGACCCAGATACATGTGTTATCTAGATATAATTCTATTTAGTTCTCAACTGATTAAATTTTTTAATTCCCTCAAAATAGTTGCATACCATTCACATTATCACAATAATTTGTGTAATTTCATAAAACAAGATTGTCTTGGATTTGTCTAATACACTTAAAGAGAAACTCTAGTAAATAAAAGGTTCCTACAATTTCCTAATTTAAAGGTTCATAGACACTGATTTGACATTAATATTTTATATTTACATTTGCAAATGTTTTCCTTTACATAACACTACTGAAGGCAAGCGTTTTTATAACTGTGTAAATACAGGTTTGGGGTCAAGAGGTCATAGATGTGCGTTTGGATAAACGTTCCACGTAGTTTCTCTGTGACGTCATAAAGGGTCGACGCACGTTTAGTGGATTACATACATGCCGTTGGGTTTGAAAAATTAACGCATTTCACACGTTAAAAGTAACAATCAGGCAAATACAAAGTATAAATAAGACACAAATGTAAATATAAGTAATAAGGTATCATTTTTTGAGTTTTATTGAGATGTAAAACGGGTTGACACATGATCAAATCTTCCATAAAGCCCTTCGGGCTTTATGGGATTTGATCACGTGACCAACCCGTTTTACATCTCAATAAATCTCAAAAAATGATACCTTATTTCTTAAATATGTATATTATCAAAACCTATATATTGTAATAGCATTTCACACGAAATATATTAAAAATCTTATTTCATCTAATAGTTATTGAAACTTTAAAATTGTTGATGTGTTTCATTGACACATCCCTGCACTTTAACAAATTTTAGTTTTATTCTTTAGACTTAGGAAAAGTGGCAATTTTGTTGATTATTAATAAAAATTATTAAAACTTTAATCCAGAAGAAATCAGAGTAAAAATGTTCGAAAGCAAAACATACACACAGTGGGTGCGTTCACAGGTCTGCCGTTGGTAGACAAAAGTTGCAGTTGCCATTGGCATGTCACTGGTACCAATGTTTTCTTCCAATGGTATGTTTTTCATCAGACAATCTAGAGTGTGATTAATGTTGGTAAATGACGTCACAGCTTATTGTCGACATGGCAACAAGCTAGGGAGACTTGGATCCCGGATTCACAATGATTTAAACAGTTTCTTCTCAAATTATGCAAAAGTCACGTAAAAAATCATATCAAAGTCAAAAATTCATAATTTTAAAGTATGATTTAGACATGATCCATTAAATGGATAATACAAAATTCAAAGATATGATAACAAAAGAATAATGATCCTAATGTGGTTTGTTTCTCGGCTATGAGCCTGCTATGATTTTATCTCGACTCTGAAAAGTGTCATGGGGACAAAGTTTTGTGCGAATATGACCTAACTGTTGATTTACATAAGGTAGTAATAAGGTAGTGATGAATCAAAAGAGACGTGTATTAAAAGTTAATTGCAAGACCGATGCCCTTGAAAACGCTAAATATGTATTAGTGTATATATGCTTAAAAAAAGTCCCATCACATTTACATTGTTACACTGTGGACTGGAAATATTTCTAGCACAGAAATTACCCAGGCCAATAACCTTTGGGGCTTAGGTATTAATTATTAAGGTAGTACTTTAGAACAGTACAGATATTAAACTATTGCTCATTACCTCTGAATACTGTTCGGTGTGTCAAAACAAGACTCTTATATGGTTATCAAATACTTAGAGTCAGAATGCATGTTATCTACTTACGTTAAAAAACTAAGCAAAGGCAGCTTTTTACATCTGCTTTATTACTTTTGATACTTGTACTTGTAGTATACATTTGCATTTAATTGTCTTCATACTTTCCATCCGGAAAAACAGGCAAAATCTTGGTGCAGATAATCTGCATATTTTGTAGTACGGATGTTTACCTTATCCCCAGCTTTCAAAACCAGTGGAAATGTATTTGAACAGTTTGCATATCCATTACCCCAAACATTATTGCAGTTTCCAAGTCCTGTTCTCTTGCCATTTAGAAGGAGTTCCACGTCAAAAATCTTTTTTGGTTAATGACCGACAGATTGCAAAATCGCG